ATTCTATGATTCTATGATTCTATGAAAGTGAAGGGGAATACCATTCCCCACCTGTTCAATCAATGCTCAAATTTCTAGGAAGTTTATCCATCCAGTGAAGTTTCTGTTTTATGTGCACGAGAAGACAGGAATAGTGCCCTGTAAGAATGTGTACATCAAAGTAATGCTTGTAGATCATTGCTGCCCTGAACCAAACTTGGATCCATGGTTGGTTAGGGGAAGTGGAGAAATTGCAATGAATCCATATTACTGGTCAGAAAAGGTGGTTACCATTTCTGCCTCTGCTCCTGAACTTAGTAGTGACTTCAGTGCAACCGTTTCACCCCTCCTGGGATTTGAATTGGTTATTCACTTACTATGCTTTGTTAATTGCTTTGAAAGCTATGATGAAAGGAGCTACCTGGCTGCAGGCTGTCACTGATGATTTATGTCATGTGTTAAATGCATTGGCTTTTAACTCTGTACAGCAGCCTCATCACGAGACCTTGACCCTCATTCCACAGTTTGGCAGCTGGGAGAGTGGCTTTAAAAAGTACTTTTGTTATTATAACAATTTCATCAACTCTCAGGGATGACAAACATATAATTGAGATTTGGCTGCTCTCTTCTGTCTTCATGTTGCTTCTGTGCTCCACTCTCACCTTGGCATTTCTCTCTTAGAAGAGCATCAGCTGGAAATAGAGGTCAGGGGCTTATGAGGATATCTGCTTCCATGACCACTACAGATCATGGTCATTACACAGGGGATGTTGTTATCTCACACATCATATTAATATCCCCCGTGGTGTCCCAGAGCATTTTCCATAGGGTATATTTCTTGGGCTAAGCCAGAGCTGTCTCACTGTATGACACAGAAGAGTAGGCACTTCAGGGATCTGATGATCATCTACGACTATGCAATCCAGCACATGTGATTTCACGCACTGGGAATCAAAAGAGTTAAGAAATCTGGAAGAGTCTAAATGAGGAGGACTTATCCAGACCCCTGCAGAGGACTGATGGGCAAGAAATGATTTTGTTGAAACATATTTCATCTCCCATTAACAGAAATGAGGCACAGCTCTACTGTGTAATCATTTGTACCTCCCTGGTATATCCAATTTGATGGGTATTTCAATGATCAGTTTAGCTAGTGAGCAATTAAAGTCTAATTTGCATCTGCACATGAGATTAAAATGTTGGATGGATTAATTTTTAAAAGCTGCTACCTTTCATAGAAGACAGTACTAACTGGTTGGATATGTACATAGTATTGGATAGCATTTCTCCTTACAAAGAGAGAGGCACTGCTGGGAAACTCAAGAAAATCTCTGCTTTGCTCAGCATACTTATCACAGATGATAAATGTTTTCACTAGCTCTTCTAAGTAAAGATAAGGCTTGTTGCATGGTTTCATTCCAGTGAAATTCTAACTTACTACAATGTATGGAGTTTATGATTCTATAAGTTGCAAAGAAGCAATTTTCATGCCGACCTGCATTAAATATATCAACTGAATTCATAGAATAATAGAATGGTTAGGACTGGAAGGGACCTTAAAGATCATCCAGTTCCAACCCCCCTGCCATCAGCAGGGACACCTTCCACTAGACCAGGTTGCTCAAAGCCTCATCCAACCTGGCCTTCAACACTTCCAGGGAGGGGGCATCCACAACTTCCTTGGGCAACCTGTTCCAGTGTCTGACCACCCTCACAGTGAAAAACTTCTTCCTAATATCAAATCTAAACCTCCCCTCTTTCAGCTTATACCCATTTTCCCTTGTTTTGTCATGAGTTGCCCTTATGAAAAGTCCCTCCCCAGCTTTCTTGTAGCCCCTTCAGGTATTGGAAGGCCGCTATAAGGTCTCCCCGGAGCCTTCTCTTTTCAAGGCTGAACAGCCCCAACTCTTTCAGCCTGTCTTCATAGGAGAGGTGCTCCAGCCCTCGGATCATCCTGGTGGCCCTTCTCTGGAATTGTTCTAGCTGCTCCATGTCTTTCTTGTGTTGAGGGCTCCAGAACTGGACGCAGTATTCCAGGTGGGGCCTTACAAGAGCGGAGTAGAGGGGCAGAATCACCTCCCTCGACCTGCTGGACACGCTTCTCTTGATGCAGCCCAGGACATGGTTATTGGCCTCTGGGCTGCAAGTGCACATTGTCTGCTCGTGTTCAGCTTCTCACTCACCACCACTCCCAAGTCCTTCTCTTCAGAGCTTCAGAATTATATGTTGCAACACTAGGAATATAACTTCTCTTCCAGTAGCATGCATGTCTATGTGTTAAAGAGCTGGGAAAATGTTACTAGCAATCCTGGGATTGAGCTGGGTGGAGTATCCTCAGGCAGAACCTGTTTGTACAGGAAAACATGTTGCTCTGTTGGCAGTGAAATGGCAGGGGGGGGAAAGTCTTTTTTTTTTTTCATTGCAAAAAATATTGGGTAAGATTATTTTTATGTGCTGTAACACTCAGTGGAGCTGTGCCCAGAGAAAACATAAAAGCTCCATTTGCAGGGCTGAAATTACTGTGTGTTTTGTCAATGGAGCAAGAAGAAGAAAAAGGAGAAAAATATACATGTAAACAGAATAAGAAGATTTTTTTACAAGCTGAGGTGGAAAAACAAGTTTCAGAATGACTGACATGAATTTTGATCTCACCCATTTCTGAAGTTCTCGACGATTCCTAGTCCACAATAATTTTCATGATTTTGTATTTATGACCCAATTTGGGATAAGAAAAATGTAAAATCCTGAAATTTCCTTTTGGATTGGGAGACAGTGGTTTCCTAGCAGTAACTGGGATGTGAATATGTTTACATGCAGATACACACAACCACACAAAGAAGGGACCCAGCACCCTCTCTTTCTCTCTCAGAAGTTCTGTATATAGACCAGTGTATTAAATATACTGTACTTTAAATATGTTTTTCTGAGGCTGCCAACATGTCACAACCTCCACTCCATTGAGAAGTTACGTCATTTTTTTCCTCTTCAGGCTAAACAGTTTCAGACCATCTCACTCTAGGAAGAATTCACACATTCCTTCTTCTGCTCAAGAGTCTCCTTGGAGGGCAACGTGTTGACCTCCTCTGTGTTGATTTTCTTCAGCTTCTTCTTGTCAAATTTCTCCACCTCCAAGAGGTCCAGCATGTCGTACATTTTGCCTGCTGCTGTGCTGTGTTGCCCTGTTGGGCTCTGCACCACCTCACTCCAAGAAGGACATGGGGATGCTGGAGAGTGTCCAGAGAAGGGCAACGGAGCTGGGGAAGGGTCTGGAGCACAAGTGTGATGAGTTCCCGGCTGAGGGAACTGGGGTTGTTGAGCCTGGAGAAAAGGAGGTTGAGGGGAGACCTTCTGGCTCTCTCCAACTCCCCGAAAGGAGGGTGGAGAGAGGTGGGGGTGGGTCTGTTCAACCAAGGAACAAGTGACAGGACAAGAGGAAATGGACTCAAATTGTGCCAAGGGCAGTTGAGATTTGATCTGGGAAGAATTTCTTTGCTGAGAGGGTTCTGAGGCATTGGAAGGGGTTGGCCAGGGCAGTGGTGGAGTCCCCATCCGTGGTGGGATTGAAGAGTCTTGTAGACATAGTGCTGAGGACCATGGGTTAGTTGGGGACTTGTCAGTGTGAGGTTAGTGACTGGACTTGATGGTCTATTCTAATCTAGGTAATTCTGTCATTCTGTCATTCTGTGATTCAGGCCACATAGGTGCCTGGCTGAAAGATGATCCATCTGAGACAGCAGCGTGCCACTACAGCATTTTGCAAGGGGTTTTCTCCTTCTGGAAAAGCCAGGTAAAATGTGGTCCAGGCTGTCTGAGTGCTGAGTGGAGGCAGCTGTCCTTGTTTGATAGGTCTGGGAATGATGCCTTTGAATATCAAACTCTGGGTATTTAAAACACTAACTTGGCATGTGAGAGTGGAGGGACTTCTACAAAATAAGGATACACCTACTGTACTTGGGTTTATCCCAATCAAATCTGTTTGCCAAGCTGAACAAAGCTGAGTGCTGATGAAATGAAGCCACTCTTGGCTTGTCTCCATCTGAACTTTGAATCTTAGAGGATCTTATCATGGCTGAACACTGGAGATTAGCACTTGGGTCCTTAGTGAGAAGGATGGACAAGAACACCTCCAAGCTTGGATTTTAGAAGGTCTCAGATGAGCATTGAGTTCCAAATGGATGGAATAAATCGTTTAATTACACCAATCAATGGGATAATACTCCCTTTATTTGTACATAGGGTTATCTTAGAAGCATCTACAAGGGGAGTGCTCTCTGTTGAAGAACTTAACACCGTGACAATGTAGACAATAATATATTCAGTTTTGGTGTTAGTATTATGAGTATGTTTCTTTTTATTCAAATATATGGACATTTATGCAAAAAAGTCAAGGCCAGTCAGTATGAGCCCCTAAGTATGAAACTTGTGTAACAGCTTGATCCCCTTCTTTCCTTCCAGGGTTTTCACAATGGATGAGTAGCAGGAGCAAAGTGAAAAAATCCAACCAAACAAGGGAACAAACCAAGTCTGAAATTAAAAAAATGTGCTTTAATTATGATATAACAATGTTAATGACTTCTTGGTAATAGCTTGGGAAATTAATTAGCGTGTCATATGCAAAATGGAGCATCACTTTTCTTTCATTTTCACTTTTCTGGTGTTGTTAAGGTCTGTGATGCTATCAACATTCACGTCCAATCTAGTTAAAATTGCAATAACTCTTGAGAAACAATGACTTTAAAAAAAACCAACCCCAAACCTATATGTAGATTAAGAGAGGCTGATGCCTCTCAAGGTCATGCAATTATTCTACTGGATATTTCTAATTTCTCTATTAAGAAATTGTATGTGTGTATGAGACTTTCCCCACCTCAGGACTTCTTCATCCTGATCACGAAAGAGGGTTTCTGGATACATTCATGAATCATCAAGGTTTTTAAAGGGGCAACACTTCAGACCACAATGGAAATTTCCTTCCAGATCACCTTAGTGCTGCTAACAGGAAATTTGATAACCTTCCTACTAGATTTTGGGTTGCTCCTGCATAATGTTAGAAAAGATCAGTTCCCAGGAACAAAATGGACTGTTTGGATTGCTTGAAGTAAATCCAGTAACCTGAATTCATGCACATCTGTACAGCAAAAATAATAGCAGATCCTGGTATTGTTTATTTCAGTGGTAACCTTAGGAGGGAAGAAAAATTGGGTAGGAATAGACTGCTAATTTTTCTATGGAACAGCAAATATTAAACGACCATAATCCTAATTATCCTAATCCTTTATCCTAACTATCCTAATCCTAGGAAAGTTAGGATAAAATGTATTAAGAGCTAAGGGAATAGGATCCCAAACTCATAATGTCCATAAGTAGGAAAACTTTCATTGGTGTATCACAGAATCAGGAAAGAAACAAGGTCTTATCATATTTTTTCTATTTTTGTTTTGAGATACGTGGAGCAGTCAGCAGGTTCCTTTCTCAAACCATTCTAAAAATACATAGAGCAAAAACACACCTCCACTTTTACTTTACTGACCAGGGTATGAGAAAATTGACATGAAATACAGATCAACCCCCTAAAGCAATCTTCAGCCTAAAACCTCTCTTCTCCCAGCAACTGTTCTCACCTGTTATCTGTCCAGGCTTCATAAATTAGTACTTTCCATAGGGATCCACAGTGAACTTCTAACTGGTTACAGCTGGTAGCAAAGCAAGGCACTTTGCTGTGCTGAGGAGTTTGTCTTTTTATTGGCATAGACATTAAATCAAATGCAATTCAAGTCCTCAAGGTTCAAAAGCATGTGGCACCAAGCCAAGGTCCCAGAGCTCATCTCTCAGCCCCCGTCTTCTGCTCCATCCACTTTGCTCACAGCCAGATTGGTGACCAGTGATGCCTGCACTTGGGCAGCTGGGTTGAAACTGAGATGTGTGTCTCAAGGTAAAAGGATAACCAACTGGGAGGAGATACACCATATTGGAGAATCACAAATCCTGGCCTTTGAGGATGTTTTGATTTAAATCAGCTTCTTACAGCTGTTCACATTCCCTCAAGCCACTCAAATGCCCTGTAAAGGGAGATTTTAAAAGGGTAAATCTTGCTGGAGGAAAGGTAGAAGCACTACATCCCATCCCCAGACACTTTAGCTGACTTGAGACAGAGTTCAGAGAGTCATGGAAGTGCCTCCAGGTGCATTTCTTGAGGAGCGGATGGGAGAAGTTGCAGCTCTGCACCTGCAGTTATTTGTTCTGAGTACATTTCAATTTTCATTTAATGGGGAAGGAAACATCCTGCTATCACTAAAATTTGCCTTTGATTGCCTTTTTTTCTTTAAAAGATAAGTAGTAAATGAAAATACAAGATCTCCAATATGAACAAAATTAAGCAACATCCTGAAAAGTTAAATGCATCAAAATATCATCACTGCACAGTTCTTGCCATGGACACCAATTTTGATCTTAGTTTTGCAAGTGTTATGGCACTATATTGATACAATTCAGATACTTCTTTTCAGGTTTTAATTCTCTTTATTCTTCTCAGTCAGATGTAACTAAAACCTTGCAAAAAGTATGAGCAGAAACAGATTTTGCACCCAAAAGATTAGGATGACTTTGAGGCTAGGTTGCTTCTGCAACAGGAAAGGGAGGGGAAAAGCCAAAGACAGAGAAAGGCTGTGGAGCCATTGGGAGAGCCCAGCATAACAGGGGTGGGAAAGGGTTTGGGGTTCCCTCCACAGAGAACTGTGTCTGAACTAATTAATGCTACTGTTAGGAAAGTTTTTAGGGTGTCTGTAATGTTTTTAGATCCTATAGTATGTTCTCTGTATCATATTGCTCCATGCCCTTTGGATGACTCTTAGCATGTCTGGTAGTTGTCATCTTTCCTTGACCAACTTTCCTTTGGTCTCTACAACTACTTGAAAGGAGGGTGGAGAGAGGTGGAGGTGGGTCTGCTCAACCAAGGACCAAGGGACAGGACAAGAGGAAATGGTCTCAAGTTGTGCCCAGGGCAGTTGAGATTGGATGTGAGGAAGAATTTCTTTGCTGAAGGGGTTCTGAGGTATTGCAAGGGGTTGACCAGGGCAGTGGTGGAGTCCCCATCCCTGGAGGGATTGAAGAGTCGTGTAGACATAGTGCTGAGGGACATGGTGTGGTGGTTTGACCCACAGGTAGACCATGTGGTCCTGCACTCACTCCTACTGGCAATGAAGCTCTCTCTTTCTTTAGGCTGATGATCTTTTGTTCAGGTCAATGGCCTTTCCTCCAGATTCTCTCCACCTTCTTCTTTTCAAGACAATCCTTCCCCTCACAAATATGGATTCACAGAGGCATTTCTCTAGTGCTAATTGTCTCAGCCTGGGCTGGGGGGGTACACCTTGGAGCCAGGCGAGCTTCCTCCCCCCAACACACATGGTTTAGTTGGGGACTTGTCAGTGTGAGTTTAATGATTGGATCTGATGATCTTAAAGGTCTTTTCCAAACAAAATGATTCTGTGATTTTATGACCACTGTCACAGATGGGATTCAGAGTCAAAGGACCTTTGATTTGTTCAACCTCTCTGTCTCATTCTCCACTGTGCATTGTGAACTGAGTCAGAATGATTTACACAGTCATCCCCATGCTTTACAGCCTCATACATTGTCCTGAATGTCATTCCTGTAGTTCTGTTGGGGAAAGCCCTTTGCAGTTCTGCTGGAGTCCTCCTGCCACAGAGAGGAAAGGAGAAAAGGTCCTTTGTGGCTTTCAGGGATCGGAAGTGTCTAGATTGGTATAACAAGAATCTGTCTGAGTTTTGCAATAAAAACCAAGAGATGTATTTTTGGAAGACAGTTCCTCTGAGTGCACCTAGCAAAATGAATTTTAACAATCAATTGACAAAATCTCCTATATTAGATTTCAGATTAAAAACCTCATGGAAATTAAACTGATAATCCATGCATTAAAAACCCAAATAAATCAGACTACTTGAGAAACACTTTCTAAAGAGGAAATCACAGCCCCACATCTCTAATCTGTGAATTATTGACACAGTGGCGCAGTGGAGCTGCAAGAACTTCAGATCAGAAAGCAATTATCTATTCTCTAACTCCCTGTCTGTAATAGCAGTTTCATTCCCAGCTTGTCTACAAAGAGATGTTCAGGAAAATAAATCCATGCCAAC